GGATGAACACCACTATTGAAGGAATGGCCGAAAGTCTGGTCGGATCCATGGATGAATTGCCCACAAGATTTTCGCCCATTCCTGTCCCCAAGATACACGCCTCTCGAGGCCACGCTCGGGCTAGCGCCTGCGACGTGCTGGGTAGGCCAACCCGCCAGGCGGCTGTGTGAAGACGGCGGCCCGCCCAGACCGCCCGAGTGCGGGAGCGTCGTCCAAGAGAGTCGTCCAACGTTACCTCTCGTCACGTTAATTATGGGGGCATCTTTATGGTGTCCGTATGATTTTAGGATTGGGTGTCGAAAACGGAGGGAAGAGAAGGAGGGAAGAACCGATTCGATGAGTTGTACTTACGAAGGAACGAATCTCATCATGATGTCCCCGTCGCCGGTCGCGGCCGCCGCGCCGACTTCCTGGTCTGCGAACGCCCCGGAGCCGGGGATCGGCGAGGCTCCATTGGTTGAAGTACCAGCTGCAATCAATCCATTTGCATCAATTGCAACCATGCCTATTGTATCATGGTTTTGAGAGTTAATTTCATTGCTGCTTCTCACTGATTCCATCCTACTTTTTTTGGCTAAAACTTTGTATGGGCCACAGCTGCTTCTTGGATCAGGTGAGACATTCTTAAATGAAAAATATAGCAATATGTAAGGGGAACGTTTCTCTAAGCAAACCAAAAGCACGTCGTCAAGAGATGATGTCACCTACTCTCCAGAAATTAGGTTGGCAGTGTTTCCTCTTCCATTGTGTCCAAATTTCAAGTGATTTATTTGTGCTCAGCGACTGCTGCTTAAAACCCAACTGCATTGCAAACTTAGTTGCCTGATCACCTGCCAGCATTGTATGAGCTGTGTGGTCTAATACTTTTCTGGCAACAGATATCGCATTAGGTATCCGTCTCAGATCACTTACTGCTCCTATATTCATGGACACACTGTAAATTTTAAAAGAGAAACAAGTTTATAGAAGATTAAATTAGGGACTTGTCAAAATGATGTTTTCTTTTGATTTGGGATGCTGCACAGACCCATCCATTATCATGGCATCCAGAGTCGTCTCGCCGTCCTCATCCGGGCTTCCCCCAAACCCGACTGTGCCGTCACACTGGAGCTTCTCGCAGAGAGTGCAGCCCCTCTCCACTGCGTCAAGGGCCGTTCCTCGCTCGGAGAGCACCTCCCAGGCTGAAACAAGACAAGGACGAGGCAGCTTGAGTGGAGGCAGTCAGTCGAGCTTGAATTGAGATTTAAACTGTCCCGCGAGAAAAGGGGAAATGGGAAAAAGGGGGGGGGGCGAACGACGTACAATGGAAGGGTGCACGCACCCGAGTACGAATGAGATGATAGATTTTGTTTAGCAGTTCATTTATCACAGCCATTGTCACATGAATGATAGCCAAGTAAGCTCATAACGCACACAGGCCTCTAGCCAATTTTCGCTATGAGGTTGGCACCCCTACCTTTGGCACCGGCAGATTCGAAGCCGTTCTGGGCCCAGGTGTTGATGACGGCGGGGAAGGCCGGCGCGCCCGGCCGTGTGTGGTCCTGGCCCTTTCCCCTAATGTGGTTTGAGGTTAGGGTCGCCGCCACCCCGCCCACGACGAACCCCACGATTAGCAACACTTTCGCACGGTCCATGCCGAATGCGCGCGCCCGCCCGTCTGTGGACTCGTCGTCGCCCGTGTGCTGAGATTGGCGGCGCCCCTCACGCGTCGCCGCCGCCGGTCTCTCGCCGTGACTCGGAATGGCAGACGACGTGAAAGGCTCGAAAAGCGCAAAACTTCTATCGGTGAAGTAATCTGAGTCGGTCAGCTGACGCTGACGACGCGCCTCGCTCGCTCGCGACAGTGGTCGCCGGTGCCGTCGGTAGCGTATCCGGCGTATGTCAGGAAGAGAGGACGGAGGAAAGGGTGAAGGGAGGGGGAGGGGTGGGGGTTAAGCTTGCAGTTCGCTCTGTGACAGCACGAGCGGCGGGTGCGGGCGGCCGGCCGCCGGCCGGCGGCTTCTGTGTTGTCTGTCGGATCGACGACGGTAAACGGATCTCTGGTTTTCTGCTTAGTTAGTCTTCAACCACTTTTCTCGAAAGGTTGAGTAGTAGTATCACCACCTTGTGTCCGGAAGCTAACTGACTGCAAAGGTAAACAAACGAAACTCGTAATATTTACCTCAGGTGTATGCAGCTGCGTCCAATGTTGACATTCGCCTCGCGGGCATTGTGTTATCTCAGGTGTGAAGAAGTGACTGAAATGGCAACGACGGACCGTTTCTGGAGGTGGAGGTTGAGGTTAGCGTTGAGGCGCGAGGCGACCCCAGAGAGGGCGACCCTGGCCCTGGAGCAGAAGCAGACGATTCCTGTGAGCAGGTAAGTCGGCCCAGTCCCGGTGGTCCTGCCCTGCCCAGCAGCCTGCCCTGCCCCTGTTAATAAGTTTATGACTGATGCAAGTGTCCGCGTGTCCTTCTCTGGTCCCAATAAATCGTTGGCGATTAGAGTCTCGTGCGAGCCGGGCCGGGCCGGGCCGGCCGGGCCTGGCATCCAGGATGTTGTCGGCCTCCATCGCGGGCTGTTATATTTCGGGTTACCAGCAGAGATAACAGCTTGGTTATACTGACGTGTCAGCTGACGAGGAAACCAGTTCGGTGCTCTGGGATACATTCGTTATTATTGAACGGCTATGGTTAGAGAATATTTTGCTTTTTTGCTGCGGGGAAATAACTTTTAAGTGGTTCACATCGTGCCGACCGCGCTACCCCGCGCCTCTCGCAGAGGCGTACGCGCGGGGTAGCGACGTGAGAGCCGTGTCGGTTGGGTCGCCTAGCCTCGCGGCGC